CAGACTCAGGTGACTACTCTTCTGGTTTGATGCTGATTTTGCTACATTGTCAAGTTTGTATAGTGACATACACTGCCATGCAAGATTTTCTTGTAGCATCTGTTTGAATTGCTCCGAAAGCACTCTAATAGGATGCAGCGTCATGCTATTGAAGAACATAATTCTCATGGAATAGCAACCTAATGCACATTTGATTTAAGTTAAAAGCTTGTGAGTAGTGAGAGATGACTGTCAGATTTGTATCATTACTAGTTAAAAAATGGCTTTATGGGATGTTGTACAAGTAATTGTCAGTGTATTCTAGAAAAGATAATGGGAATTCTCAGGATATTCATAGAGACTGCACAATATTTTTTTTTGCCCTGTACAATGTACTGCATGTGACACAGCAATACAAAACAGGTGATTTGCATAGCTGTATGAAAACAAAATCAATGGTTCCATAGCCAAGACCTGTTTTCCTGTTTCACAAGAACTCCATATACCAAATCTACCAAACCACACTGCTGTTACAATGGCTCATATTCCAAGTCCTGTCAGCATCTACCACAAAACTGCCTTAAAAAATTATCTATTGGGAAAAAAAAAAAAAGGCTTAATATTGTCATGCCACCTTTGCTGTATGTATCAAAACCATTCTTACCATCGGATGTAAACTTAATATTCTACCTGAGTGGAGATGGGATCTTCAAACAATTGGACTGTGCACACAGCACTTTTTTTTTTTTCAGTTATGTAAAATCTAAAGATCCTGACTTTAAAACATGACACTTTTAGATGCAGGAAAGTTCTGCATATCTTCAATGCATAAAAAAAAAAAAAAAACAAACAAACAAACAAACAAAAAAAACTTCATATTTTCCCCACACTTAGATAATGCTTGTTTGTTGAACCTGCCTTTTTTCACGAAAATAAATTTATATTTTTATGATAGTCTTATTGCAAAGGTTTTTTGGAGACAAGATGGAATAAGTAATCAAAATTAGAAAGAGACAGCATGATCAGAAAATAACTAAACACTATTGCCCTGATATCAGATTAGGTCTTGTTTCTTCCATAGGATGACTGGTTTAGGAGGAAATGTGCTAAAGACAACTTCAAGGGCCTACTCTTCATTCCATTGTAAATAAGAGACAAAGTGTTGAAATCTTGACTTAAATGACAGAGCAAAAGAGAATTTAGTTTTCTTGCTGTTTGTAGCTGGGGATTTTTCTGACTGCTTCTGAATCTTTGGCACAAGCAGATCCTCAGCTGATGTAAGCTGCTCTAGATTTCTGACCTATGATAATCAAATCTGATGATCTTAGAGAACAGTGGAAGGACCAGCCACAATTAAATGCCTTAACAATGCTTTAACAATTGATTAGAAGGATGGATATAAACAGGCTAAGGAATATCTCTAAATTAATCAATACAGTGATGACATAGATGTGGTTTAAGTTGGAAATGTTTCAGTTTCCTTTCTCAGGCCCACAGCTCCCACAGGACCACCTTTGATGATGCCCTTGAAATGGGGTCTTAATATTCTCCTCTGAGTAGATTGCCCCCTTCTGCCCTAAGGGGAAAAAAAAAAAAAATTTTTTTTTTCCTTTAAATTTGAATCCTTAATTTGATTGCTTATCTCTGGCTGCTGAGTGCCTGTAGCCTTTCAAGAATAAGTAGCATTTAAGTCTTCAGATATGATGGTGGTTCAGTTGTTCTTTTCCTGTGGACTGTCAGCACTTCTGCAAATTAGATTTTTGTCTGGATAATGGAGGTGAAGGTACTTTCTGAAGGTTTGTGATGTAACTTGCCATGAGAGAAGAGTCACACCACTCCAGAAAGACTAAAGGCTCAATGTTTTGTCTCCCTCTTGTGACTCATCCCTGTTGTCTGTAACAGTGCTTGACCCAGAACTGTACAAATACATTTTGATGTGTAGAACATGGTTCTTTTGTTTGTCACCTTAAATGAGTGACTCTTAATGCTGATTGTGAAACTAATATTGACAGAGTGACCAAAAATGTAAATCATGCTGAGAATAGAAGAGTGAACTGCCTTTTTAACTTGACCCGACAGTGGTCACTTCAGCTGACTACAGGGCTGCATGGTTAAGTGTCATGTATTCCCCAGCTAGAGTAATGATGAATACGAAGGGAAAGAGCAATTGCTAAGGTTTGTAGATGTGAGATGAGATCTTCAGGGAATCTTTGGGGATGATAAGACATGTCTGCAAAACCTCATCAGCTATGAAGAGATCCTAAGGTGTTAGAAGTACAAGAAGAGCTGCAACTAGAAGAAGCTGGAATAATTACCTTTGTTTACTTCGTATCCTTAAGAGATGGACCTCATTTATTCAAAATTTGCTTTGAATATTTAAGTGCTAGCATCTTTGCAGTTGTTTTCAGGGACCTGAAATCTTTGTTGTTAGACAGCTCCTATGCAGATTTTGCCATCTTAGCTGTAGTAGGAAGTCAATTTGCAGAAGATTCATTCATGGATTGATGAAGAAAACTTGTGGCATTTATTCTTTCTTTGTTACATTTTTTCACAGAATCTGCATATGAATAGTATCTTTTAGGACATTGAATCAACCTACTGTCCACAGTATAACTATTCCTAACAGCACAGAGTTTGAAATCTGTGACTTTTTGTGGTGCCTCACTGATCTCTTTAAAGTATAAATTCAGTAATACAGACCATACAAACTCATCTTCTACATTCAAATTAATGACAGGAAAGTGTCTGTGTGATTTGGACATCTATTTTGTATGGGAAGAAATGGATAACTCTCTTTTTCTTTCTTTTTCTTTCTTTTTTTTTTTTTTTTTTTAAGCTCTGTGTAGTGTTGATGTATCATTAATCATTAATGCACAATTTTTGATACTTACTTCCAAAGAGCTGTCAGAAAACAAACAGAACTGATAGCTAGTTTCTATTCCAGACCTAATAGTCTCCGTTAATAAGTGCTTGGCTGTGCTGCGCTTGCAGCTTTGTAGGAGTGAACTGTGGTGAATATGAAATCAGATGCCTGGATTTTATTAGTAGCAGGTATTTGGCAGGCTGTGGGTTGTCCTTCTCTATATTGTGAAAGAAAGATAATGGATGAGTTAACATGGGTTGAAACTAAGAGGGAAAAAAAGGTGCAATTTTTCTTTAATTTCTGCTTGTTTATTGCAGGAGTCACTGAAATCAGTACTTATACATAGTTAAAACAGTCTAACGAAGACTACATCTACAAACTCTCTGGGCAAACCTGTGTCAGTGCCTCTCCACCCTCTGATGGAAGAATTTCCTCATAACCTCTAATCTAAATCTTCCCTCTTCTGGTTTAAAACTTGCCATTACCTGACTGAGAAAAAAATTTGCTCTCCATTTTTTATATAAGACCCCTTTAAGTATTGAAAAGCTGCAATGAGGTCACCCCAGAGCCTTCTCTTTAGGCCGAACATCCCCAGCTCTCTCAGCCTTTCCTCACAGGAGAGGTGCTCCAGCCCTCCGATAACCTTCGTGGCCCTCCTCTGGACCCACTCTAACAGACCTACATTTTTGTTGTGCTGGGGGCCCCCGACCTGGATGCAGCACTCCAGGTGGGGAGAGCAGAGGGGGATAATCACCTCCCTCCACCTGCTGACCACCCCTCTACTGATGCAACCCAGGATGCAGTTGGCCTTCTGGGCTGCAAGTGCACACTGCTGGCTCATGCTGAGCATTTCGTCTACTAGAACACTAAACGAGGGACCCAAAACTGAACACAGTGCGGCCTCACCAGAGCCAAGTACAGAGTGACAATCGCTTCCCTAGTACTGTTCGCTCCACTGTTTCTGATACAAGCCAGGGTGCTGTTGGTAGCATCATGTCATTTTCCAATTTGCTTTCCAAATGAGACTTTTATATAAAAAAAGAATATTTGCTAAAAACATGACACCAGCATTCACTTTTTTGTTTGGTTTTTAATTCCTAATTGTTCTGTCAGCTAGGTATTCTACATAGAATGATAGAGAACAGCCCAGGTTGGAAGGGAACTTGAAAAATTATCAAGTCAGATCTTCTGTGGGAAAAGGGAGCCCTGTCCAGTTACATCTTGAAAACCTCCAGTAATGGGGATTCATTCTGCCAAGTCCCTGGGGAGGTTTTTACAGTGATTGAGTGTTCTCACTGTAAAAAAAAATATTTTATTTGAACATGAAACCTTTACAAGTGCAACCTGTACCCGCTGTGCTTTGTCTTCTCCTTGTGGCTTCTTGTGAAGGCTGAGTTGTTGTCCAGATTTCCTGGAGTCCACTTTGAGTACTGGAATACTTCCCTGAGGTCCCCTTGATCCTTCTTCAGGGTTAAATTCATGTGATCCTCAAGCTATTGTATGGTGTGAATACGTATGTATATTTATGTATTTTAACATATTTATAATATTTATATTTTTTTATAAACTTTTATTTATAAACTTGAATTTTAATGTAGAAGGTCTAGCTGTGGCTTTAGTCAATATGTTTCTGAGAGCTCAAGGGCGTGGAGGCCTGTTGCCTTCTGTGTGGCTGGAGTCGTGGCTTGGGAGCTTCTTGCTATGTGCTTATATGTGATTATTATCCTTGGTGTTGAATTGATATGTACTGGACATTTTTCATCTCTGATGAGAAAGTTTTTCATACTGTGATTCCTGTGATTCTGTCAAGTCACTTCCTTTTTCACCAGCACACATGACCACGGATATTTGTCTGCTGAATACAGTTTTGTCATTGATTAGTTCCTAGATAAGTTCAAGATACGGACCTCCATCCCACAGAAGAATAAGGGTGTGATAGTGCAAAGATGTGATGGTATGGATGTCTTCTGTTAGCAGCAGAAGACTGGGACTGCGAGACTTATGCAATAGGGTTTTTTTGTTTGTTTGTTTGTTTGAATGTTTTACCAACTTGCGGAAAAAAAAAAACCAACAACGCTTCCCCAGAGAAACATGGTGGCCAAAATTGATGTTATTGCTGAATGTTTTTTTTCTTTTTTTTTTTTTAAAAAAACTGCAGAAAGTGAGTGAAAAAGTAGGAGGTGCAGAAGGAACCAAGCTAGATGATGACTTCAAAGAAATGGAAAGGGTAAGTCTAAATGCAGCTATGTACATTCACTATTACCATTCTTTTTTCCTTTCTAGGATAGGATTTTCAAAGCTTTTGTCCCCATTTGAGTAATTTTGAAAGACTGGACTTTTATTTGTCAGGATTAAATTTTTGGATTCTTATCCTATTTTATCTTGTGACTGAGGAATACGTAATGTATGGCACTCTTTATACTGCCAATATTTCATTCAGAGATTAAGGCTGATGCCAGCTACAAATTACCTTCAGTTAAATTACTGTGGAAGATCCCTGTAAGCAGAGGGAGTCTGTCTACAAGTATGTCTCCAGTGGCAGAGGGTGCCTGTAATTCTCAGGTCCTTGAGCATCAGTTGAGAGGAGCAAGAGCTGTCTGAGGAAGGGGGCTAACTTGGTTATTCACTCACAGGTTCAGAGTTAGGCAGCCTCCAATGACAAAATGCTTCAGGAAAATGGGGAATAATTTCCCCCAATGGACTGCTCAGTGAGGCTGGCAGTGGTAGCACCAAGTGTTTTCATGGAAAGAAGAGCCCAAGCTATGTGTAGTAGTACGAATATGTTAGCTGAAAAAGAATGTGGTGGCAGGTTTTTTCTAACTTCAGCTTTTAAAGTTACCATCAAGTGTTTTAACATTAGTTACTGCTAGGTGATTTGTAGGATGTGTATCTGATACCAGCCAAGAGAACCAGAAGCTATTGATTTGCACAGTTTTGTAGGGAAATGGGAAATAAACATTGGATGGAAAATAATGGAGAAGGGCGTATCCTTTGCACTTCTTCACGCAGTGGAGATATTAGAGAAGTGATTTCTCACTTCTGATTTCTCACTTCCCCCAGTTTCCCTTTGAATGTGCCACAGGTTTAAGCAGTGCCATCCAAACTGGAAATTGTTAAAGAAAATTCAGAAAACTGATTCTAGGTTTAGAGCTGGAAGTAGGACAGAGCAACAGCCACGGCTGGGTCCCACATATGCTTGTGGGTGGCATGGGTTGGCAGCCCAGAAGATGAGCGCATTGAGAGCTGAGAAGAGAACAGAAAGCTCATCAGCTGCCTCCCTGCTCTCCTCCTGGCCCTATGTTGATTGCCAGCTTTTCTGTAGGCAGAGGACACGCTCCTTCTGCCTGCCCATGGCCTTCTGTTCCCTCGCCCCCACTCTCTGCAACCTTCTAGCCATTTCTGGGCTCCCTACCAGGCAGTTCAGCTACTTGTTCACCCAGGGCAGGCAGACCTCTGCTGCTTCTTTGTGTAAAGAGTAGAGCAAGGCCTGGCAGATGGCAATGGCCATACAAAACAGGAAAGAGGTCAGTCACAGCATGTTGCAAACAACTTATCTCAGGTGTTCTTTTTTAAAATAGGAACTTGCCATTATGGTAAAGAAGTTCACTCTGTGGGACACAAGCTACCTGCAGAGATAAGCAATGTGTCTTCGTAAATGCAGAGTACAGAACACATTACAGGGATCCCCAAATCTGCCAAAGCAGCATTTTTTAATTTGAGTTCTGATTCTAAGAGATAGAATAGTTGTATATTTCACTATAAGCAATTTAGGAAGACGATACAGAATACTTCTTAAGAAAGCAAGAATTCCTACTACAGTAAAAGAGAGTAATAATAGTTCTGAATTGTTGCTTTATTTTAAATTCGTAAATACAAAATACTTGTTCATGGAGTGATCCAGAGGAAATAAATGGCCAATGCCTTCAAGCTGATAATTTTCTTGAAATCAGATGGCAAGGAATACTTTGGCTTCCCTATCTGAATTTTACCAGAATTCGCTCTGAAAAATGTAGTCAGTGCATTTTATTACTGGTGTTTGGTTTTGATTGGCGTCTGCTTTTCTCTTGGTTTGCCAGCTACGAAGGAACCAAAGGTTACTAATTCTTCAAACAGGTTTCAATGACATTTTTATCAAAAATATATCCCTGTTGTGGATACTTCCTGGGGTGATGCAGAACATCAGTCAATTGCAATGAATTGTATCAAATTCCCTATACATCCTGAGGTATTCTGTACTAATGGCCTCACTTAAGAGTGATTCTGCTACAAGCAGTAATGATGGACTCGTGTTTTGGTATTTTTCTAGGCATTATCACCATGCTGGAAACAGAGCTGGATTTACTCAACAGCTATGCTCAGGCACACAAAATTAAAATAAGAATAGTTAAAAGAATTCATAAGAACAAAAAGAAGACTGAAACACATATTGCGCATGTCTGACATCTCTTTTCATGTTTCTTTTTGTTTAACTTCCTGTCCTTTAGAAAGTGGATGTTACCAGCAGGGCAGTTATGGAAATAATGGCGAAGACAATAGAATATCTTCAACCCAATCCAGGTAATATAATTTCACAATCTCACAGTACTTGGAGCACTTTTTGAAAATACTCTTTTTCTCACCAGTGTTGTCTGACAGATCACATCCTTACTGATGCAGCTGAGATTAATGCAGAGTCAGTGAAGTGACTGTGGAGTGAAAAGGCAGAAATGAATACAGGCTTCTGTGTTAGGCTATCGGTGAGAATGAAAGATGGTTTTGAGTGACTTGTTTTATTTTTGGTGTTCTTCTTTCAGGTAAAAATAAAAGGCAGCATGTGCTTAGAAATTGTGTGTGTTTGCACGCAAGCATCTGCATGGTGGCGGTGTGAGGGTGGGGGCTCCCTGGGGGCTGGAGGTGGCTGCAGGTTCTGCACAGGGATAGCAGAGCAGGGCCTTTCACTCAGAGCCATCCCACCACCCCTGCCAGCTGGGGGCACTGGGGCAGCCCCAGCCCTTGCTGTCTCCCTGGGAGGGAGACAGGCAGAGGCTGGCCATCACCCGTGGGTGGGAATCAGGATCAGGCACGGCAGGGGTGCCTGCGTGTGGCACTTCTTTCTTCTGTGGTCCCAGTCATTCTATTGTGTGAAGGAAAAGGGTTGGGCAGTCCTTTCAGACCTTGGGAAGACAGACGAAGGTCTGAAGCAGCTTCCTCCAGAGCACAGGAAAAGAAATAACATTCTTTACCTGCTCCTCTAGCAATTTCACATCCTCATAACTACGAATGGAGGGATGCAAAAGAGCTGCTCATGCTGAACTGGTGAAAAAGGCAGGTTAACAGACCTAATCAAAGATCACTAAATTGGACCTTCAGAACATAAATGAATGGCTGGTTTCCATGGCGAGAGGAAAGAAAGTTTTCCATGGCGAGAGGAAAGGAAAGAGTGGGCTGATGGAGAGCTGAATGCAACTCTCTTGCTGAAGGATTCTAACAAGGAGGGGTGATCTGGAGCTGTTGTGGTCACTGTTATACCATAAAATTCAATTACTTAAATATTTCCATAGTGATCTAGGAATGTAAGGGTTTTCAGTCAATGCCAGCTTCACTGGTGGCATCAATGGAGTTATGCAAGTGAAGAGTTAACGTGAAAGTAAAATTAGTCTGTGTACCTACTATTAGTGCCTTAGAGTTTTATGGAAGTACAGAGAAAATTCATTCATTCAGTGTCTCTTTATAGCTGGAAAAAAATTCAAACTAGTGTGAAATATTGTATTGCCAGTGTGGTAGACTGAAGGACCATTGCTGGTATAGCTTAATTGGTGACATTTGTATGTTAGATCACAGAAAAAAGAAGGATAATCAGATGATGCTGCCAGTGGATTGATAAAAGGAGGAAGAATATTTACAAGAACTGTTAAAGAGAAAATAATGACTAAAATGGTTTCTATGCCAACAGATGGAATAATGTTTATGACTTGAGTCCACAGCTACATTGCTCATCATCAACAAGCACTCTGCAGGAAAAGCAATAGGATTGACAAACATTATGGGGCTAGGGATAAAATTGTTAACTACAGTCAAGCTGCTGTTGTGCAACATCATATAGACTGAGTAATAAGTTTTGGCTCTTCTGTGCTTCTCTAGTTTGCCTTCCTGACACATCTGAGTGATTATGATTGCTGTGAATCACAAAAGAGGCTCTCTGTAACAGCAGAGAGCAAAATGTCTGGAAGTAGCTCAGGGTGTGATTTCAGGCACCTGAGGCTGTTTTAAGATTGCACTGCTCCAGGAAGGAGCAGTTCCCATACCCCAGCTGCACATTTTTTTCATTTGCTTGTGGAGTACGTGAGTAACATCTGAAGATTAAAATGGTAATAGACACTGAAGGATTTACTTTTTTCTTTTTTTTTTTTTTGCATAACAAATGAGATCACGTTATTTGCCAGCTGGGCAGAGGTAGCAGATGGAGTAAGCGCAAAGGAGGACTACCTCTTGTAGCTCTCACCTAATCTTGGATTGGTTTATGCTGATTGCAAAAGGGCTCCTTTATAGTGATATGAATTACATGGAAAAATGACATTGTTCTTAATAAAAGAAAAAAGATTATTTCCATATAACTATATTACTATTTGCCAAAATAGTATTTGAGGCACCCAAACTACCTATTTCCATCATTTCCTTTGTTGTTGTTGTTGTTGTTGTTGTTGTTTTTAATAAGAAACAGAGACATTAAATTCAAAAGTGGAGGGAAAATTAATGAAAAAAAAATTGAAATCAATATGCTTTTCTTTAGAAGTTTACCTGATTTTCATAGGATAAAGAAGGTTTGGAGTGCACTGCACACTCCTTGATAAGTAGGATATGCCCTGAAAACAGCCTTATCTTTGTATGACAACATACAGCAGTACGAGGGAGCGACTACCTTCATGGTATTTTGTGTGATCAACAAATGAAGGAAGCGCTATTGACCAACTTCAATAAACAGTTAGTGAACGGATAGTAGAAGGAAAAGAGGGGAAAAGAAATTAAACGGAAAAAGAAGAATTTTAATGACAAAGGTGAAATTATTGAAAGGGATGTTGGGCTGAGGTTACCGTGAAGGAAAAAGCTTTGTAGACTTCCCAATTATGACAAAAACAACAAAAAAAAGGAAGGCCACTTGAAAAATGACTAAAATTAAATATGATGAAGGCTTGGAGACTTTCCATGAAGATGTACATGTAATTTGAAGAAAGAGATGAAAGATGAACATGATTGAAAGTAGAAATAATGAGTATAAAGACAGAATAAAGAATTATTTTTCACCATGGGTCTGTTAACACTTGCTATTAAGGTGAATCATAAGTGACAGCAGGGAAATCAATGCAAATGAGGAAACTGGGAAAAGAATCAAGCATTCAGATCACCACCATGTGGTGCTTTGTACGTCTCGGCCTGTCTTCACTCAGGTTGAGACATAACTTAGAAAAGAAAATACGTGGCACTAGCACGGCAAAAGCAATAGAATTGAAATGGGTCAGGATGGGATTTTCAGACTGACTGAGCACAAGCCTACCTCAGCTCCCCTGGAAGTTACTGGAATCAACTTTAAAAGAAGGAAAGTGGAAAGAAGACACTGGTAGATGTATTCTAAGATTTTATACTAAAGCAGTATGATTTGGTAATTTAAATTTCCGATAAAGTTAACTGTAGAAACCAAATCTAACACTTACAATAAATAGATGAATCACTGAAGCGTGAATATTTCATGCTTGCCTCTCTCCTCTTCTTAACCCTTCCCTTATTGTTCTTTCATCTATTACATTCTTTCCTATACTTTTTTCTTTTTACTCTTGCCAGCCTTTCTAGAATATAACCACATTGTTGTTTTTTTAAAATTCCCTCTTATGTTTTTGTTTTAATTTCTGAAAGTATTCCCATTTGTTCCTGTTTTAATTCAGCTTGCTGCCTCTATTTCTCTGTTTCCATTTCTTGTCCTACTGATTTTGTTTGTGCCTGGGTTTCCTTTTGTGCTTCTGTATTTTCCCTTTTCAACCATGCTTTCAATGCCATTTTTAAAGGCCACACACTTCATTAAAATGCAGATTCTTATACAGAACAGTCAGCTAGTCAGCTGAATGTAGTTTTGTAATGGGTAGCAACACAAGGCATCAAAAAATTCTAAGTGCAGAAAGGCATGATCTGATGGCACTGAAGGGCAGTGAGAAAGCTTACAAAAATATGGTTACTATAGATTAAAAACATGTTACCTTTTCATAGCTTCTTCCCAGGCAAAATAAGTACAATGACATTTGCCTGAGTTTCCTTTGTTTGGACATCTATGTCTGTGCATATGCCACGAAGTGAAATATATTCAGCAACGAAAAACATTTCTTGATATATACTATTCAGCAGTAAATTAAGAGCAAAACACTTGTTGACTGCAACATGCTGATGTTTTCTTCTTACAGAAAAGTGTGCAAGGCTGCGTGTTGAACAATGATGTTAGCTACTGATGTTTTGTCTACAGAAATGCTAACTCATACGAGCAACTGCCAAAATTGAATCTTTGCATGGAGGAAGGTAGAGGCATTCACAGCTGCCGTCCTGTAGCACATGCAATAGTGGAGGTAGAGACACATACTCTGAGTCAGCTGTGCTGGCAAAATTAGAAGTAAAATGCAATTACTTAATTCGATCTCTGCAGGCCATTCACATATTGTAGTTGCAAAAAAATCACTTTAAAGCACATCATCAAGAAAATTATTTAGTTTATTTTTACTGGCTTTGTTTTCATCAATTATGATAATTATGTGCTTTCTTCTGATCTGCAATTGTGTATTTGAACTAAACTAAGTACAGTCAAAAACATATTGAAGTAGGAGTTTTCCAAAATTCTCTTTAAAAAATATTTTTTTTTTCAAAGATTGTTGATCATTTGAGAACAAAGTTTTTATTTCATACTCCACAGGTGAAAAACTGTCAAACGTAAACATTTGAGGTTTCAAAAGTTTAATCTTGAGAGTCTCGACTTGTCCTTGATAGGAAGGCTGACTCGGTCTACTATCTGTCTGCTAGCCAGGGATTCTAAGTTTAATAAATTGGGGATAGCTTAAAGATTTTTCTCCTGAGTTGTAGCACATCAAACATTGTGTCTTGAAAATGTTCATGGCCTTTCTTCTGTCTGAGTCGTTTCAAGGGAGGTTTTGATTTGAAGTTCAGAACAGAGGCTGCATACTCAAACTGTTGTGTGTTTGTAACCTCTGTCACTTTCCTTTTTCAGCTTCCAGAGCTAAACTCAGCATGATCAACACTATGTCAAAAATTCGAGGCCAGGAAAAGGGACCAGGTTACCCACAGGCTGAAGCCTTGCTGGCAGATGCAATGCTGAAATTTGGCCGCGAACTTGGAGAAGAATGCAACTTTGGTAATTTGATTAATTCCTTTTCCATTATACTGAAATAAAAATGGTAACAAAATTTAATATTTCTTTCATTATTGGAGTCTTGTGCTCTTATAAAGAAATAAATTCTGCAAAAAATGTGAGAGTTCGGCTTCATCAGTCTTAACCCTTGAGGTCAGTTTAGGGCTGCTGAGATGATGTAAATCCAGTATCTTTTGCAGATTTGAACAAGAGATTTTTCTCTCAGAGCTGGAAGTCAAATTGTTTTAATTTGGAACCATACCCATATAGTCTTTAGGCTCTGTCATTGATTATGCTAAAGGGACTTTGTTGTGGTGGAAGATATACGTGTTCAGAAATGGTATTATTATCTATCTGTGCATACAATAAGAACCTTTTAACCTCAGAATTAATGTTACTGTCTTTATTACAGGCAAGGAATTAAGGATAATCAATTTTTTAAAAGCCGTTACTGAAAATCTTCATTCCTTGCATTTTGGCCTTTTTTCTGGCCAGCTTATGCATTTAAGGCACTAGTGCATACTCCTGTTTTGCCTGTAAAATCCTTCTCCCCACCAAGCCCCAGATGAATTTACAACTTCCTGAGTTAGAAATGTTAAACCAAGATTTTACATTACATTCTTTAACGCTGGAGGTCTAAGTAAAAGAGGTAACATTCATAGCAGGATCCTTTGTGTCCTAATTGTGTGAGCTGCTCTGTTGGCTATTTTTATATGTCAACACCCCAAACATTCAAATAAGACCCTGAAAATTCTGTTTCTTTTTTGAATCTTCATAGCATGTTGTTCCTTTGTTCCTGGCATAAAGACGTGAGCAATGGAGAAGGTACTTGTTTGTTGACTAGTAATTGACTAGCTTGGCAAATGTAGGCTGGTTTGTACTAAACACTATTGAATTATTTTTTTATTTGTTGCCTCTCACTTGCTGAATTTCAAATATATTTTCAAAGTGAAAATGAAGAACTAATAGAATTTAATTTGTGCAAATTGCTCTGTATTCTCTGATGATTGCATTAGTACACAGCAGAATAGATATGGCAATTATTTTCACATTCTTAACTAATAGGAGCTATTATGGCTGTTTGTCATCCAGGTCTGGCAGGCTCTCTAATTTTGCCTTGCATTGCTGCCATCCCCTGTTTGGGAGACAAAGCTCCTTCTGATCCCTTTCATTTTTAAGTTTTCACACCCTTCCTGTTCTTGAAAGGAAAGTAGATTTTCTTCCACCATCCTACATCTCAAACCAGAGAATATTTTTGAGCTTCTTTTGTTTCCATATAGAGGACATAAAATAGAACAGTAACTTTTTTGGACATCAAGTGATCTTGGAGGAGATCTCAGAAATTCAGGCAGATAGTTTTCACTAAGTTATATGAACTTGTTTAAGGGTAGGAACTAGAGAGTTTCTTCAAAAGAATCTTTTATTCCCTTCTCCCACCGGCTCCCCCAACAAAAAACATTGTAAATGTTTACTATTTTTACATTCTCTGATACAAATAGGAAGACCTAGACTTGCATTAAAACTATTTTTATATACAATCTAATATCTGGCAGCAACACTGGAGCAAATGAAGATAATTATTTTTTTAACATATTTTCTTCACCAGATTGAGGAATGAATGGACAATGAGATATGGGTAGGGGCAGGCTGTCCTTATGCAGTATGAATTCTCAAGTTCAGATATATTGCAGGGCTGGAGGCTGCAGAAATGTAAAATATGTGTTGCCCTTTCATGTGGTTTGCCAATCTCTGTTTCTTTCCTAAACTTGAGGCTGAAAACTGAATATTAACTGAAATTTCCATGAGTCATTCTACAGTGCTTGGAACTAAGTTATTTTAAGTTAAACTGGGCATCTTCTTTTTCAGGACCAGCACTTGTAGATGTGGGAGAAGCTATGAAGGAGCTTTCTGAGGTCAAAGACTCTTTAGACATGGAAGTTAAACAAAACTTCATTGACCCACTTCAGAATCTCCATGACAAAGACCTGAGAGAAATACAGGTATTGTCCTCAATGTGGTATTTGTACTCTGTACGTGTATACAAAATATGTAAATGTTCAAAATGCTTTTGTTGTCTAATTAAAAGCTGGCTTTTCATCTACAGAGGATCTGATTTGAGTTTTACTTTTCAGTCCTGTCTCTCTCATTGATGGTTTAGAAGGGGAAGGATCAAAATTCTAACATTGATTCTTCCAAAGGAAAGTAAATACCTGAAGTGTTCATTCTGGGGCTGGTAGCATTAACTTTTTGGAGGTTTGACCTGGCAACTGCTAAATAGAATGACACGTATGTTCTGTCAGTTAATAAACTGGAAAATCTTTAATAAAAGATAACATTAAGATCCTTTGGTGATCTGATGAAATTGATTAAAAATATTTTCTCTGTTGTTTTGTTCATGAAAACTACTACACAAGCAAAAATGTACAACCTTTTGATTTTATTTCAATCTTCTCTTAAATTTCTAGGGGAAAATAATAGTATTCAGATAATTCTACATCAGAGTTAAATGTCAGAAACTCTCGTATCTTTTATACAGGTATCGACTGCAGTTACCCATTCTGTGTGGAGTCTGTGTGGCCTTTTTAAATGCTGAATGTCTGTCATATTTAGAGGGCAGAGCATCTTAAAAGAGATGTAAAACCACATCATTGTTTTTCCCCTCTCGGGAAGGAATGATATACAGCAAACAGCTTGAAAATCTGCATGGATTATCTGATTACAATGCAGATGGCCTTTGGCTAAAGAGAGCTGGGAAACACCCTTTATTCTGTGCTTACTTTTTCCTTTTTGTTCTTCAGCATCACCTAAAGAAAATGGAGGGTCGGCGCCTGGATTTTGACTACAAGAAGAAAAGACAGGGCAAGCTCCCTGATGAAGAGCTTCGCCAAGCACTGGAGAAATTTGATGAATCAAAAGAAATTGCTGAGTCAAGCATGTTCAACCTTCTGGAGATGGATGTGAGATATCCCTCATTTATGCTTTGAGCTGAATCTTAACAACAAAAGAAAGATGCTTGTTCAGCAGTGAAGGCAATCTAAAGCAGTCTAGAACTTGAAAACCTGTATAAGTCTATGATGCCACAGTTTCCTATAACTTTAAAATGGGGAAGCACTTCCTACCTCGCTAGACTCAGTGAGACACAGTGAGAAGCTGTATTAACGTACAGCATGCACATGCAGGACTAGTTTAGCAGGTGTTTGATAAATAAGTGAGATAAAGAATATCAATTCTCTATAACAGCATTGTACTTCCTTACTGAACAGTGTTACTTACAAAGACATAATACCTTCCTATTCAGAATTACATAAATGTAAATCATGATTTTTACTTTCTGTTGTTTCGGGGTATGATCTGTTGCTTTTGTTCAAGGATGTATGCTGCTGATATGATTGGTAAACGTCAGAGATGATATGCTCACAACCTCTATGGTCTCTGCCCTAATCGTATGCAGTAATGAATAGAAAAGCCAAAATTAATGTGACTGCTGAAACATGACTTTACAGCATAGTTTTCACTTACACACTAGTTGAGGAATGAGCATCTATTAGTTTTCTTTATTTTCTATTTGTAAGTAATGTTGAAACTGTAAAGTGAGAAGAAAAAGTTGCTACTTCTGGATGAGAACAAACAAACAAACATTACAGATGAAGTCTGTCTTACAGGGTATCTTGTCAACTGATACTCTATTTAAATATTCCAGTTGAAGGAAATGACTGGATTTAAGTTTAAATTCATGTGTAACTTAATACCTCATTTTGTTGCCAGAGTGCTTTAGAGGGGACATAACAAAAATGAAAACATTTGCGTATCATAAATGACATATAGCTGTGCTAAAATGAAAGTATAATGAATTTGTAGTTTTAATCCCTGTACTAAAATACAACCCCATATAACTAGATAGTCCTGGCCTGCATGACACCATTGAGAGGTATATTGTGTGAACTGCTGGGAACTACAGCATCCTCAGAAGAGCTTTGGATGATTTTTCCCTCACAAAGTAGAATTCTATCTGCCTTCACTACAAATACCCTACATACAAAAGGATGTAACATCTTCCTGTTTCTGTCTATTGCACAGCCCAGAATGCATAAGAAGCATGACTGTACTCTGTACCATTTTGTGTCCATCTAAGGGTGGGGCAGAGAAGGTGTACTATGTTTTCATTACAGTCTGATTTTTACTTTCACAGTGTTTCTTGAATGAAGTAGGTCTGTAGGCTACTGTTCGTGCAAACAGGCCATGGAGATGATCAACAGAGAAAAGTTGCAGTCACCATTCCATATCCGATCATAACCAGACATGGTAATACATGAAGGCTGATATGTAGCTATTTATGAACTACAAAGATGGATGATTTTTTTTGAGTGAAAAGTAAAGGCACTGTCTTTGCAGTGTCAGCCTGAAAGTGGTCTTTACTTTCTACTGCTGATGTGTTGGTACTGACCTAAGATACAATGTTTTAATGTCAATCCTCAGATCGAACAAGTGAGCCAGCTTTCTGCTCTTGTACAAGCCCAGCTGGAGTACCACAAGCAGGCCACACAGATCCTTCAACGAGTTACTTCTAAGCTGGAAGACAGGTAATACACTTCCTTTAAATTTGTTGAATTGCTTTTTATGTTTTACAGAGTCAGAAAACCTATGAGTAGAATGCAAAATGTATGTAACACTGACTTAGAATGTTTATAAAAACATGCTTTCAATTAAATCACATTTGACAGCTTTGGTGAGCTGAGATGCTTTCCTCAACTCAGTCATACTTAGAATTATCTATATCTCTAAAACACATAAACCGTAATTTGCAGTTGCCTGGTGAGACAGTCTCTGTTTTCATAATCACATAATTAGCAAGTTCCAAAAGATAACCTTTTTGCATTCTACACATTAATGGAAGGCTTAAACTTCCTTAAAATACTCTTGATTCTAGGAAACGAGACTTGGCAAGCATTGGAAGACTTAGAGTAAAATTCATAAAATCTAGAAGGTCAGCAAAGATTTTTCCTTTTAAATTCTCTTTTTCATCAAGTAGAAGGAGTAGCATGACAGTGCATCTGGGAAGCAAGAACAGTTTCCTTGGAGATATTTCTTTTCTGAAGAAACAAGGCTCATGCTGAGCTTTTGGAGAGATTTTAGGAAGTCACTAAAACTGTCACCTTCAAGTTCATAATCTGTGAAAAATGGTATCTCCTTCACAGAAATATTATGAGTTATAGAATTAAGTGTTTTTTTATTCAAAGCTTTACTGTTTTGAAAAAAAAAGAACTGTAATTGAATGAAGCACAACAAAGCCTTTTTGTTTATTTTGACAACGTCATTACTTTTGTTTTAAATATATTTCTGTTTTATATTTCTGAAGAAGAAAATCAATTTTGGGGGAGTGACTAATACAGATAATATTTTAGATGGTGAAGAGACTCTTGTTATCAGGTCCAAAACTGGTTAAGTTTGAAGCAGTTTTTTTCAATGCATAAATCATGGTGCAGCCAACAGCAGCTGTGGGGCCAGACTAGGGAAGGTTAGAGAAACCAACCTGCACTTTAAATGCAAAGGTCTTGACTCAAATATTCTTCCCTGAGTGGTATTAGAATTTCTTATGTAAGTTCTTCTGCATAAATTGCTCTCATTCTGTCAACATTAACTATGAATCTGAAAATGTACCCTTTCCTAGAAATTCTCGACTTCTCAATTAAAAGAATACATTAACATGAATGATGCATAATATTTTTATTTTGAGAATCCAGGAAAACTGGAGCTGTGCATCTCTGTGAAGCAAGTATTCTAAATTACAGATGAATGCAGTCAATACAGCAAAAGTCAATACATTCCCACACAGTCTCCTCACAAAAGGACAAGAGTTGGCATCAACCAGCTGAATAGTTAAGGCATGCCAAAAGTAGCAGCAAAATAACAGGTTTCAGTCAAGCTAAAAATGAAGGTAGAGTTATTTGTACAGTCCTTCTTTAAGCATTGCTAGATCATATCACAGGTTTTTCTCCATTATAAACTCTTTGTTATTCTTAGACAAAAGGAAGTTGGCCAAAACACTATTTCTTAAGGGAAAAGAAAAATGAATAACTTAATAGCACAGTTGCATCAAGTCGTTATTGGTAATTTGAACTAACATGTTAAATAAAAATTACTCCAAATCCAAAAACTTTTAAGACAGGCTGATTCATGGATGTTAACTTTAGCCTTGGAATTAAAGATACTTGCATCTCATCCATTGACAAGACAGTAACTCTTGACATTCAACTGATATGTTTTGGCAGAATAAAAGAGGCATCATCTCAGCCCAAAAGAGAATACCAGCCCAAACCTCGTATGAGCCTGGATTTCACAACTGGTGACAATACTCAGCACAATGGAGGAATATCCCATGCCACCACTCCCAAACCAGCAGGTAATGGCAGTAACAATGTGAGGGGGGAAAAGCCAAATTTGGATGAATTTTTCTACAATGCAGAAGTTCCATGCTTCCTCCTAGAGAGTAGTTCTTTGGTGAGGGAAAATGAGAATGGTGATAGTATAGGTGAACTGCTTGAACTAGCTATACCAATTCCACCAAAGGACATGGTCCAGTTGCAAAACAATATTCTTTCTAAAATATTCACATCCTCAGGCATGTGAACATGGATCCACTGCTTTAAATCTTCCGTTGGGTCAAAAGTTTCCTTAGTACTAGAAACACAAAGAGATGCTGCCATACTAAATTCACCTCAAAATACAGATCTTAACGCTCATTTAGAAAACCCAAAGACCAACTGTAAGTTTTCCATGAGCATCTAAAATCCTAAAACCCTACAAAACTCCATAATCTTATCCTGCTCTATAAAGACAGGTATTATATGCAGCCTGAAATTAAAAATCACTAAAAACAAGAACAAAGTCAAGTCAAGTGAGTTTTCCATCCAGCTGGGAGCAGGATGAAACATTTATGTGACCATGCATCATTATTGTCTTAACAATGTACTTTATTTCATATCAGCACATACTAAGCCTTGTCACTTGTTTCTCACAGTGATGGTCTGTTAATTCCATGTTACAGTGGTGGTTGTCCTCTTTCTGATCCCTGACATCAGCTGTTCTGGTTGATCTCAATGACAATTGCTAGCACTTCCTGTATTGCAAGATAGTTGTTTTTCACTAGATCTTTAGTCAGGATTTCCTTCCTTCCTGTTGTATCCTGATGAGAATATTTACTGTTCTCCCAAGTATAGGCAGCAACAGTATCTCCATTTGGCACCTGCAACTGGAAATAGTCTTGCATAGCCTTCTAAAGCAGTAATTTTCTCATTATGCTGGCAAGACATGGGGGGTTATACTGAGGACTATGGATGGGAGTTTACGTGTATACTGGGGATTCCTCATTCACAAGTGTGGCTTGAGTCTCGCATAGTAAAGGTCTTCCTGTCTTGTCGCCAGAATTTTCTTCTTCCTTTGTATTTTTGTGGTGTCATGAACACTTGTCTGTGCAAAGGTAGTACAGACTGATATTCCTGTATCTCTTAAGCATTTGCCTTTTCCTTTTCAGAGAGCAATATTTAGCGTTTTCTTCAATGGGTATGCTTTCTTTTGAGGTTCTCATCAGTTTCAGAGAACTGCCTTCTTCTCTGACAATTCTTTAATGTAGATTTGGGATGGTTCATTCTAAAGCACAGAGCTTCAATGTTCGTTTGAATTTTAGTTCTAGTTTAACTTTCATAGCTAGGTCTTTTATGTTTCAGCTGCTAGAGACGAGGATACCAAACAGGCATCATAAGGCTTGTTAATGCCAGCAAAATAGACTTCACGAAAAATAAAAGATGTGTGCTGTCTTATCTTTAACTTTACCTCTCCAGCAAAATAAACAGTCAGCAGTATGTAAAGAAATGAAAGGTTTCACTACAGAATTTCATGAATTAAGTATTCTATTTGAAAAACTTACTGTATTGACATCTATAAAAATGTAGCTGAAGCATAGATATTCTAGCTACAGAGAGTGGTTGAAATGAGTATGTAAAAAGTCTGAATTTGAAACCCATTCATCATGAAGCCACTACATATGAAAAAGCTGGAATATATATTCCTAGAAATGTCATTATAGGGTAATGGCATGTATCACTTTGCTCTGACCACTGGAAGCACATGAACTTTTACTATGGGAAGGCAGGTTCCATACATTTTAGTTCTGATAAATTCTAATTATTTTGACCAGGAACAGTTACGCTTTTGGTAGGCTTGAAGCTATAGGAACTTGGGAGGCTGGAGGGTGGTGCAAGAAGAAAAGAATATTTCTTAATTTAGTACAAATTAAAAATCTATAAAAATCTATAAAAATCTAAACTAACTAATAACTTACAGTAATATCTATCAGCCATTCTAAAGGGTGTACATGATGTTTATCAACTACCATATTTGAAAACTTTCCATTTCAAACCTGTTCCAAATCTATCCTGGTGGTCATGCAATCTTCAATGGGGAGAAAATGTCTTTGGAAACCTCACTTTTAAATTTGGAAAATTATAAGCATATATGATTGTTTGAAGTATATCTGTACCAGTGAAGATTCCAAATAAAGGCATAGTTAAATCTTCATTCTCATTTCAAGATACCCCTTTCAGTGTTTACCTGAGACACAGACAAAGCCTCTGTGCCAGTGAGGATGGAAACGTATTTGGGCTTTTGTTTCATTTTGCATGTTTTGTAAACAGATAAAAATCAGATCCCAAACTGGTAGTAGCCTCTCTTTTAGGACTGGGCTTGACTGTAGTTAGTTATTTTAGTAGTTTCATTTACTAAAGGAACCACATATGAAAACACAAGGCTGCCAAAAGCTTTAAACTACCTTCTAATGCAGTTTAGCAGTCCAAATTTAGATGCTGTCAAAGGACTGTTATCACCATATGAATTACATCAGAACAGCAAAATTTGTAGAAAGTATGAGGGTTAGATGGATACTGTAACAGTTGAGAGTTTAAACATGCTGTTTCTTTCTGTTTCTTCTCCACAGGTGCTCACATGGATCAGCCATGCTGCCGAGCTCTGTATGACTTTGAACCTGAAAATGAGGGGGAGCTGGGATTTAAAGAGGGTGATATTATTACCCTTACTAACCAGATTGATGAAAACTGGTATGAAGGGATGCTTCATGGCCAGTCAGGCTTCTTCCCTATCAATTATGTCGATATTCTAGTTCCTTTACCCAATTAGAATGGCTGATTCACCACCTCTGACCCAGATAGTAATGTCAGTACCACTGCTTTCCAAATGCTGCTTCTTACACCTTACAAGTGCAAATTGCAGTGGTTAGAGTCATCAAGTCCCACCGAGCATCTTTGGTTTATGTGTTGTCATACTACGTAGTGGTGATGCGTGGTATCTTCTGAGCCAACACAGTGTTGTGAGCCAAAACAGTGTTAGGTCACTTGGCCATGCTGGCCTGGTGGTAACCAGAGCTATTGCTGAGACAGAGTTGGGAAGGCAGTGGCAAGCCAGACAGATGACTCATGGTGAAGTAGCAGGAAGTGAAGGCGGTATTGGGAAGATAATGCCTATCACCACTGTATTACTTTTCAATCTTAGTTCTCTACAAAAAGAGGGAAGAGTTCTTGCCATTCCATCTTTCCCTTCCTTATGGTACAGTTCACACAGGTCTAACCTTGTCTAACCAGAATTGTGTCTTCTGACCAAAATGGCTTGCTATTCTCACAGAGACAGTATAAATGTAGACCCTCTGGTTTCTCAGAAAGTGAACCACTGTACTGTGTGCCCTTCTGATCTATGCTCATTTTTGTATTCTTGATTGTTATTAAAAGCCTATTTCCATCCAGAAGTAAACTGTAAACCATAAAAAGGGGATTCCTATAATAAAAAGCTTGAACCACAAACCACATGAATTTGCCCTTCAGAAACATTGAGCATGCTCAACAAGATGCCAGTAGGAGGGCAAGATAGGGGATAAAACTGCTTAAGTGTTAACTGTTTCTTGTCAATTTTTGGCACAAAATCATGCTGCTTAAGAACCAGATATTCTTTGTAAACGCATTCACTGGGGAAGAAATCCAACCAAACACAACCCTCCCTTCTTTTATTTCTGTCTATCATGTGTTCTTCGAACATCATTTGTGCATATTCTGCCCTCAATGAGGACTAAATAAACCTTACTTCTTTTTGTGTTGAGCAATTAAAGACATGTGGCTGTATATGCAAAAACACTTCCCCATATGTTTAGTTCATTTTTTTTTTCCTCCTTACTGCACTTGGTGTGTACAGTGCTGTGCCTAGCTTCTCAGCGTTCTTTTGGTAACAATTGCAAAAGTTCTGTAAGTTTAGTTATCCAGAGTTCTATTTATCTAAACTATAAAGACTCTTTCAGAGGTTTAATGTACTGCTTCGAATGTGCCACTTCAGTACTGGATGATGTGAAATGACGACATTCCCTACTGCTTTATGTATAAACTGCATCATGGAAATATTGATATTTCAAATAAATGCTGAGAGAATAACTGGAATAATGTTGTGTATTATTATTTTATTGCTCATGAATCTGTTGTACTAGAGCTAATAAGAATTTTGTTTCGGAAAGCATTTTCTTCAAACCTGACCTGCAAATGTTTATATATATATAGGTTACTTTTTACATTATTATATTGCTTCTCTGAATTGCAACCCATATGTATAATAGCTCTCATAAACAGGGTACGCTGAACACTGAGCACATCATAAAGACCAGTATGTAATCTTGTGGAGACATGGTATTTCCCATTAAAGATGGATGGTTTTCAAAAAAAAAAAAACACCTAGTAGCATTTACTACAATGCTAGTAGTTTGTAGTAATATTATGTTTGTTTTATATAATTCAGCGTTTAATTTCATTTTATACTTTTTATTGTACACATAGAGCCAGACACCCATCCAACCACTTCCTCACGGTCCCTAAGTGGGTTGGGAGAGAAAACAATGAGAAAGCTTGTGAGTTGAGATAAAGATGGTGAGATTGCTTACTGGTTACTGTCACAGGCAAACAGATTCAACCTGGAGAAAATCAGTTTATTACCACTTAAAATTGGGCAGTGAGAAATGAAAATGACTAATATTAAAATATCAACTTTCCTGCCCTGTTTCCCAAGCTCAAATTCACTCTCTCTCTGGTCTCCACTTTCCCCAAACAGCCCATGGGGCTAAGGAGCTGGGACTGTCGTCAGTCCAGAGCAGTTCCTCTCTGCTTCCCATTCCTCCTTGCACTTTTGCCCTGCTCTTTGTGAGGCCTGTCTGTGTGCTGCAGTGAGCATATCTGTTCAGGTGTCATGGAGCACCTTCAGATGATTATTACTGGCTTATTATTTTGTACTGTTTTTGTAGGGTGGGCAAGTATACTGCAACTATCTTAGAGAAAATTATGTGTGATTTAGAGCAAAAGATGATTGGTATGCAGTGCTGCCCCACTCCCACCCTGCTGAGGAGCTGTTTTTTAGAACATAGGGAAACCACGGAATTACAGAATCATCTAGGTTGGAAGAGACCTCCAAGATCAGCGAGTCCAACCTCTGACCTAACACTAACAAGTCCTCCATTAAACCATATCACTAAGATCGACATCTAAATGTCTATTAAAGACCTCCAGGGATGGTGACTCAACCACTTCCCTGGGCAGCCTATTCCAGTGCCTAACAACCTTTTTGGTAGAGAAGTTCTTCCTAATATCCAACCTAAACCTCCCTTGGCACAACTTTAGCCCATTCCCCCTTGTCCTCTCACCAGGCACATGGGAGAATAGACCAGCTCCCACCTCGCTACAGTCTCCTTTAAGGTACTCATAGAGAGCAATAAGGTCGCCCCTAAACCTCCTCCTCTCCAGGCTGAACATTCCCCAGCTCCCTCAGCCACTCCTCTCCAGACCCCTCACAAGCTTCATTGCCCTTCTCTGGACTTGCCTGAGCACCTCAATGTCCTTCTTGTAGCAAGGGGCCCATAAGTGAACACAGTACTCGAGGTGCGGCCTCACCAAAGCTGAATACAGGGGGAAAATGCATCTTTCCACAAATAGGGCCAGAAAGAATGCACAAAGAGTCAAAAAAAATCTGTTAAATGCCATCACTTTGTGACTTGGGAACAGACCTTGTATTCTTGGTGCTTCTGTGTTCTGTCTCATCCAGGTGATCCCTGAAGAACACTCTATTCTTTAAATGGGAAGATCAAAACCTTATTTGGCCAAGACAAACGGCTGACAAAAATTTGCATCTAAAGCTCCAGTGATAGGATTAGGGAAAGAAGAAAACTGGAGACTGTTTTTACATCCCAGGTAGTTCAAAGCTTTGTCTACAGAGCTCTGACTCCATTCCCTTCTAACATTTTACTGATGGAAGGGAACATTCTGTTTTACAGACAATACATTCTGTAATGTCACTGGCAGACATAACTTTTGAAATCCTGCTTCCTAAGGTGTATAATTTCAGAAACATTTTAAAAATTCTGTATGGGTGCATAATTATCAAGCTTCTCTGTAAAACAAAAAATAAAAAATATTAGAAAGTCTCCCAGCACAAACTATCATCTGCTGAATACAGCTAAATATATATGTTTATATATTTGCCTTCTTTCTTGTTTATTTCAAAGTCAGACTGTGAAAAACAGAAATGGGAAAAGTACACAAAGGTTGTGGATTACAAAACAAAATAATAAATAAATAAATAAATAAATAAATAATAATAATAATAATAATAATAATAATAATAATAATAATAATAATAATAATAATAAATCCCTTTTGAAATATCCCCTTCCTTGCTAGGGGGACTTCTTTCCTGGGCTCACGTTTTTAGGTCTTTCTAGATGGCACCATCTAAGCTGAGCAATAGTTCTACCCCAAGATGTGCCCTATGCTTGTCATATCAATAGGCTGTGAAAACATCGTAGATTTTGTAAAAGCAGGGAGCAGGGTATATGGGGGTCTATGTACATATAGGTCCCTTCCCAGCACAAAAGCAGGTTGTGTTCAAGCTGGGCATATTAAGCAGTGAATTAGGGCACATTCCCAGGAAGCACTATATAAATCTGACTCAATTTTTATTGAAATGAACCTAGTCTTAATTATCTGTAATGCACCAGTAGGTTGGTTGTGCAATTAGCCTACTAACTAGCCTGCTATGCAACTAAGAAAATTAGAATTTAAGTTCAGATTTTCTGCTCTGTAGGCATTATTTTATTAATCTGTAAACTGATAGTCCAAATGCAGAGTTGAAATTTCCAAAAGGTATTACAATCTTGCCTCACTGTTTGGCCCAAAGTATTGTGGAAGATGGGAACAGCTTTGTGAAAAAATCTTTCTGTGCACTGTAAAGTACAGATCAATTCTATGCTATGTACCTTTAATAGTAATATCTAACTATTGATATATGAAGACAGTCAAGACTGATGGGCTAAAGTGAAATAGTGAAGGAGCTTAAGGTAATAAGATTTTGACTAAACATCCACTTAAGTTAACGGATTTGATCAATAATGAACAGATATAAAGGAATAACTTAGCCAAGTTTTGTAAAAAATTGCAAGTCACATCTAAGTGTACATAGTACAATTTTAGTTATGACCCATGTGTGTTGGACTTTTTTTCTTGAACCAGGTCATTTATAGAAAACACATTACTAATCAATTTCACATCTGTATATAAAACCAGCACACTGCCATTAGCCTGTGAGTGGTGGCAAGTGAAAGAAACAAGAAAGAAGACCCCATAGCTCTGTTTAGAAAATATCAGGTGAAGTTAACAAGGGTGCATGCCTTGAAAAGATCAGTAAGAGCATCCAACAGCAAAAGTTGTACTTTGCACATTTTTATGCAAAAATCTCTAACAATAGAGCACGATTGAGTAGCATTTTAGACAGTTGTCCTTTATAATGTGTACTATATGCAGTGATGCAGCGTGGAATTTAAAGTCAAATTTTTAGCTCAAAAAAAAAAATCTGCTATGCATCTAAAATGTTTTACTAATACTATTACATCTTCTCAAATTCTGGAGCTAAACACACTTTTGAGATCTCACCTTTCTAATATCTAAATCACTCCTCCTCCTCCTCCTCCTCATCATCATCATCATATTACTATTATTATTATTATTATTAAGAGACTGTGAGACATCATGGAATCACAGTATGGCTGAGGCTGTCTGGAACTTTCTAGTCCCATACCCGTTCAAGCAGAGCCAGCTAGAGTAGGTTGTTCAGGTCCCAGTTGTTCTCGTCCCAGTTGTTCAGGTTGTCCATTCAGGTTTAAATATCTCCACAGACATTTGTGGTGGCTCCACGGCCAGTCTGGGCACCCTCTGCCACCAGGTTTGACCAATCTCACCTACAGGCAATGCTTCCAGTATATCCATGCCTCTCCTAGACTGGGGAACCAAGGATGTACCCAGGACTCTAAATTTGGCTTACCAGTACTGATGAAAGGGGAAGGATTACTTCCCACAACTTCCTCATAAGGGGGTGTCGAGAGGCAGGAGACCTTTTCTCCATTAACACCAGCGACAGGACCCGCGGGAACGGGGTTAAGCTGAAGCAGGGGAAGTTTAGGCTTGACATCAGGAGGAAGTTCTTCACAGAGAGAGTGGTTGCACACTGGAACAGGCTCCCCAGGGAAGTGGTCACTGCACCGAGCCTGACTGAATTTAAGAAGAGATTGGACTGTGCACTTAGTCACATGGTCTGAACTTTTGGGTAGACCTGTGCGGTGTCAAGAGTTGGACTTGATGATCCTTAAGGGTCCCTTCCAACTCAGGATATTCTATGATTCTATGATTCTATGATTCAACCTCCCAGCAATGCTGCCTAAAGGAGCCTGGAACTTGTTGGCCTTCTCCACAAGGGCACACAGCTGGCTTGTGGTCAATTTGGCATCCACTGGGTCCCCCATGTCCTTCACATCAGAGCTGTGCAAACTGCTCTGTCTGTCAGCTGCCTCTAAAATTTAACCAACTGTAAAATTTAACTGTTATATGTTATGCATCAAGTACTCAAATGTCCACAGGCCTTTTCCAAAGCTTGTATGTTGTGCACAGTGAGATCAAGACTAGTTATGGCTTTGTGTAACCGTTAAGGCTATAATGGTTGACAACACAAAGTACTTGAGGACTAGTGAGGCATCTAATGGTGGAAATGACAACGCACAGTTTGCGTGATTACAGTGAATTAATTGCATAAGGAGAATTCCACGAATACCTTGGCTAGGTTTCAAGGATTTAACATCTATTGTAAGTGCCTGTGTATAAAGTTTAGTTTCTTAAAGTGCTCATTGAGTTGCCACTTAGGCTGGTGGTGATTACAGGTTTTGTTTGCAAAGTTCCTCAAGTGTCTGCATGTCTTACCCAGAAGCATTGAAGCCTTGGCAAAACTCAACCACGGCCCTTTGCAACTGACAGGCTAGGTAATACTCTGCCAATATTGTAAGTAGAACTCAGTCCACTATGCAGTCTCATATTTTCTTAATTTATATCAAGGCCTGCTGGGTGATTTTATCTTA